CCACCCCTTCCTCCCAAGCCCTGTGTACACCTTTGTGTTTTACATTTCCTATCGTGGTCCAACAATTTTCGTCTCTTGACTCCACTCTCTTTCTTTTCCTTCCCTACTTTTTCTACATTTTCGTAAATGTATATTTCTGCGTATTATGTTCAAAATATTAACAACGACCAAAGTTATGCACATTATTTGTTTTACACATCAATTTTTTTTCAATAAATGAAAATGTTGAATGTTAAATTTCAATTCGTCTCTGACTTCATGAATGTTTCAAGTTACAAGATTAAATATCTGTTTAGCTATTTACATTGTCTTTTGAATCTTCAGAACATCGTGAAACACCTGGAACCTGATGCAGAGGGTCGAGCCGATGTGGTTGATGCTCTGTCTACTATGACGGGCATCGCACATCATATAAACAGCATGAAGCGACGCCACGAACATGCAGTACGAGTCCAGGAGATCCAGAGTTTGTTATATGGTTGGGAGGTAAGTAATTTTAGAATCATAATTTTGCATTTTTGATTATTAAAATATTTTGAGACATTTGTGGACTTTCTGTAAACTTTAGTATACAGCTTCTAAATGAACAAAAGTATGTATTTAAAATAATTAATGATTATAAAGATTTTGGTGTAAGTTTTTATCATCAGCTCATTTAAAGTGCCCATTTAGCATGTTATTCTCTCAGCTAACCGATGTCTTGAATATCTTTTGAGATCCGATTGGAACTTTAAAAATTTTAAAGCTTTGTATTTAATATTTATTTTGCATTTGTATGATCAAATCTTGAGTATGCAGATACTTTGTGGTTACCAGATAAAATTGGTCTTATTAGTGATTTGGAAAATTTCTCCCCTTGTTAAGCATATTTTGAAATATGTAAATGCTAATTTATTTATAAATGCCTATATGCTTTTACAGATAGTTTTCTAATTTGGGCAACCCACTGGACTTAATAATGTAAAATAAAATGAAAACATATACAAAATAAAATTATTATATTTGTAATTTTTATATTCTTTATGCTTCAATCTGAAGTTATGTGTATAAAATAGAACATAAAAAAGAAATAACAGGTGAAGTTATTATATAGAGACAAATGTTTGCGGATTAACTTCTGGGATGGAATTAGTTGCGTTCTTATTTTATTTTATTTGAATGTTTTCAGGTTGTGTATCATTATTGACTACATTCTAAGGGATTTGGCATCTTGTTTACTTACAATGAAATTTTTATTTAGGGGGAAGATCTTACAACATTTGGAGAGTTGTGTGCGGAAGGAGCCTTTAGACTTGCTGGTGCAAAAGCACTGAGGCACGCTTTTCTCTTTGACCGCATGCTGCTAATCACCAAGAAGAAAGAAGAAGGTGTCTTAAGTTATAAAGCTCACATTAAGGTAAATAACAATTAGTTTCATTAATTTATATATTAATTTACATTTTTGTTTTTTATAAACACATGTATTCATTTTCACATTTGCATACTATTTATTCATTCATTCATTCATTTATTAAAATGATGGACATCATCATGTGAATTAAAATACAATGTTATTTTTTCTTCCTAAGATGTGCTATGTTGGTTATTAGTCATTACAAAATATATGTAACACTTAAAAAATCTTCCTTAACTTTTTTTTGTTCTTTCTTAATGTTGTAGTGCTCTAACTTGATGCTGATAGAAAGTGTACCTGGCGAACCTTTAAGTTTCCACGTGATTCCTTTTGACAATCCTCGCTTGCAATATACTCTAAGAGCTCGCAACTTGGAGCAGAAGCGGGAGTGGGCCCTCCAACTTAAAAGAGTTATTATAGAGAATTACAATGCAGTTATTCCATCACATGCCCGAAGGCTGGTTATGGAACTTGGTCAAAATCGAACTGATGGTAAGTGGCGCAAAAGTTTGAAATCAAAAAGCATTTAATTTGAATTATAGATACATACACTCATATTTTAAAAATAATATTTAGGTGCATAAGATCAAAATAGGATCTAATGCTGAATGAATTTATTCTTTGACGTTCTCATGTATTATTGATAATACAGTAGTTCATAGGAAAAACAGGACTTTTATTTTCAAAACCAGTACATTTACTAGTTTTGCTCATTGAATTCCATTAACAATTGATTTTCACTCAATAGCAATGTCTTTTCTTCTGACAAAATTCATTAATAAATTTTCTTCTTATCTCCAGTCAAGAATTGCAACTATTCTATTCTAAACCAAGGGCAGTTTTTTATGCATCTTTTTGTTTTTGAATTAGATGAGATCCTAGCTGACAAAACTCCACCTCGGCGTCAACATTCTGCTCCTGAATACCTTGAGAAGCGTAAACAGGAGCGTGAGCGTAGGAAGTCTGAGACAGGTCTCAGACATCGTTTACGGCGGCAAAGGAAATCGGACACGGGGCTCTCTGCTGGAGAAGTAAGCAACTGTTTGCGTAATGTTTCTTACTGATGGATTCAAATTTAATTCATAATTGTTCAATGCATAATTGTTGAACTTTAGCATCTTCTGAATTTCTTATGCCCTCAATGAGAAATTTAAATCTGTACAAATTGATACTAATTTTATTTATTTAGTATTTAATTGTTGTTTAATTCTAATGTTGTCCACAAAAATTAAAGTTGAATTTCCTATTTTATCAATGTGATTCAAAATTCAATTTTGTAAAATAATACAATTAAAAAATATTATTTCTTTTATTTTTAAGATTAATTCATAATAACATATTCCATTATAATCCAAATACAAATTAAAAATAATTTTAGAAAATAACATTTATTTCCAAAAGAGTTTGGTCTTATGGGTGTTTTGTTTCACAGCAGTCACCTTCCTCACCAAGGAGGCACAGAAGGGCATCAAGTAGTAGTCGAGAGCGAAGCCACAGTCGAGATGGTCTGCGATCTGTTTCACCTGCTGCCATCAAGGTAATATATTATTTGATATTAGCCATTTATAATTTAAGCCTAAAGCAGTATAAAATTTCTTATAAACAAAGACACGAAAACATGTATGTTCTAATTTGAAAGAAAAAGAACAAATAAATAAATAATATATTCTCATTTTAAGAATTATACTATATTATTGTGAATTTGAGTGGTACACTACATTACTTGTTTTTATGACAGTGGTATCCTCAAATATTAAAAACAATCAAACCTCAAGGCCTTTTTAAAACAGAATTATTATTATTTTTATTTACCTAAATTTACTCAAAAACATGTTTTGCAACACAATCTTGTAAACAATTACTTGTACATGAGTACTAAAGACTCACAATTCAGTTTTAATTCATTTTATGATTCAAAATTTAAAATGTATTCATCATGACTTGTTCTTGTAATCAATCTTAAAATTTGTAGGATTATGCTATTCAATGAAAAATACTAAATGTGAGATTTTGATTATTGGTATCTGTGAATTACAAGAGAAACTTACATCAAGAAGACTTTCTTCCACTTTATTCCTCTGTCAACTCACTTACACTCAGGAATAACAAGCCATTAGTAACTCTCAAAATAAAATTCATTTCTCAGCAAATTATTCAAATACAACAGAAATAATCACTTATATCACTTGTGTTAATCTATGATTCCTACTTATTTATATGTCTTCTTTATGAAAACATAAGTTGAGACCATTGAGTGTTTACGTAAGCTTCCGCGGCTCGAATCCATGAATTCTCGGCTATCCGGGAGACGCCGCGTCGTTGGCTGGGGTGCCGACGTTTCGCCTGACATTTCGCAGGCTTCCTCAGGGCAGTGAGGCAGTAAGTCACTGCCCTGAGGAAGCCTGCGAAATGTCAGGCGAAACGTGGGCACCCCAGCCAACGACGCGGCGTCTCCCGGATAGCCGAGAATTCACCATTGAGTGTTGTTTTTGTAGGAGAGGTTTGGCAGTTGGAGACGAAAGTCAGAACCTGGCTGCTATTCCTCTAGCGTAGACTCCAAGGGTGAAGCATCTCCTCAACTCGCTCTTTTACCCGAGCGATCATCCTCTCCAGCGGCCATACAGTGTGGTGTGGAAACACCATCATCAGAGCAAGGTGAGATGTTCACATTAATGAACTTCAATTTATGAAAAAATATTAAAAGAATGTTAATGAGGAAAGAAGACATTGTTAAAAGATTAGTATTATGCTGAAAAATAAATAGTATGTTCAAAACTGTCAGTGTCAGTCAGGAATGAACAGAAAACAAAAATATTCTGTGATGTGTGAGTGTGATCACTACTTTTAACGCATTAAAGACCACTATGTTGATAAAAATTTTCAGTGATATGTTAATAAAATTTCTAAATTCATACTTCTTATAATGTGTTATGATGTACACAAATAAAAATTAAAATAGTTACAACAGATTAAAGTTTGTACCATTGACCAACTTGCTAAATATTTCTTTTAGCTGAAATGTGATTATAAACTTCAATAGTCTTGAGTTGAAAATTGTCAATAACAAAATAAATTATTTTATTTTTCAGCAGCTCCTGTTCCTTCAGAAGATTTACAGTCACCTTCCTCATCTCCCGCATCCTCTATTAGCGCTTCCACGAGGGAGGTACCAAACTCAGGGAGCTGTGGAAGCTGTGCTGATGGATCTGAACAACCTACTGCTGGGCAAAGATCTTTAGAAGAAATAGTGGGTCAGTTACTACTTCAAAACCATGAATTTCAAAAGATGTTGAAACGCCAGCAACGTCGGCAGCAAATGCGCACACATCATCGCACTGTTTCTAATTCTGCAACTGCTGAAACCAGCGATACTGAAACAGAAGCTGATGATGGTGCTTATGAGTCACTAACATTACCTGTTACTCTCACACCGCCACCCAAGATGAAAACTGATCAGCTTCTGCAAGATGATGAAGAACAGGAATCAGATTATGTGACTCTGGCTGCACCAAATGGGGGGTCTGCTTCGTCATCTCGAAGATCTGGTGACTACGATAATCTGCAGCAGATTTGGGAAAGTGTACGAAGGCAGCAAGAGGAGATACGACGACTTGCCGAACGAGAAGGTGTGGGTGAAAGGGATTGTGATGACAATGAAGAGCTCTCTTTGCAGGTGAGAAGTGTTATTTATCAGATGGATAAAAAATTAAAACATTCCTGAAACTTATTCATTTTGCGTTAATTTTTTTTAAAGACATTAATGTTTAACTTTAGAAAGAAGTTCCTTCAGTAATAATGTAAAAAAAAAAAGATTTTAGTTGAGATATTTTGATTGGTAGTTTAATATTCACTTATTTCATCAACTCTTTAGTTATAATACTTACTTTGAAAAACAAAAATTTATTATTTGAATGACTTGTGTTCTCACATGATAGCTTGTGAGATGCATTTGGAAACTTCTTGAATGCTCACATGGTTATTGTAGAATGGTTTGACATGTCCTCACTAGGGGTTACTCTGTTTTGCAGGCCAATGAGTCTATTGCTACACCTTCCCTTCGCCGGGCACAGTCTTTCTGTACGTCTGGTACACCATCGACACCCCATTCAAGCACAGCGTCCACAACAAACACAGCAGCATCTCTGGAGGCTCTGGACTCCGCACCTACTGCGCCAGCTGTTTGGCTGCGCCAACAGGGGGCTCACCTTGCCACTCCCAGCAAAAAGTCGGGTTCTTTACCGAGAAGTTTCCAACTTGCTCATGGTTTTGGAACAGCCGCTGCTATTCTGGCCGGTACAGGGCGACCATTTACAATTGCCTCTGATCCTCCATCGGAAATTAATTTTGAGGACATTGAACGTTACATGGCGCAAGCAGCAGCGAATGGAAATGGTGCTAGGCATGCCTTCCCGTTGGCACCCACCTCTCCAGCAAATGCTGCCGGAGACACCACAGAGGATGAGAGTTTGCCTGAGGCGGCAACACCTGCTGCTAGTTTGCGGGAATTGAACGTTCATCCAGAGCATAAGATTTACAGGCCTGCTGCTGCACGAGCTGCGTTGCGACAGGTAAAACTTAATAGAAGTGTTATACCTAACTTTTAATTTTAATGGTCCTGTTTTTTAACATTCTAAATGTAAATTGTAGGATAGTTCTCACTTTCCTTGTAATTGTGGGTTATGGTAGATTTAGCCTCAAGTAATGTTCCTCCTTTCTCTTAATTATATCCACAAGAGAACTAATATGTCTCTCTTCAAAAACATGCATATTGGACAAAATATGCAATTTATTCATCATTATTTTTATGTATTTGTTTTATGCTTACATTTTTTCTCCCCATAATTTAAGAGCTTATGAAAGGAATTGTAGAACTTCCAGATTAATTGAAAACATTTGTCATGCTTTATTTATTGAGTTCATGGCCATTTCTTTGCCTCCACTTGTTCTTTAACAAGAATCTCATCTTTATCTACTTTGCAGGTTGTTGTAAATGTTAGTGCTCGACTCACGGCAGGTCTCCGTGCAAGTTCAGAAGCACTAGATGACACCTCCAATGACAATAATCAACAAAACAATAGTGGTAATACAAGTAGCGATTCTCGCCGAGTGAGTCGCCGTATCATGTCTGCTTTTCGACATTATAGCAAGACTCGATTGCGGTTACACAGTTTTGTTGGAGAGGAGTCACCAGTAGTGCCTGGTGAATCTACGCCTTCAGCAGCTGCAACTCACCGGACTCCTCCACCTCCCACACCTCCACCACCACCTCCTGTGGTAAGTGATTTTTCCTCGTAAAATAACAGTAAGAATGTATCTTATTGCACGAGCTAGATCTCACTGCTTTTAAAAAGTTATTCAACTTCCTGTCTCTGAAAATACTCAGCAGTTAATTTGAATGTAGCCGATGTTTTAAACTAATTTGAACTGAAAAATAAAATAAATTAACTAATTAATGAGTACATGTGTGAGTGATCCATGAGGAATGGCCAAAATTATTTACTAGTTTATTATCAGAATGACTTGAATCAGTTCATACTTTTTGAGGTAATGTTCCACAGTATTTGTTCATGTGTATAATTCCTTTTTATTACATTACCAAATAAAAACTGATTTCATTTATTGTAGTAGTGTTCTTAGATCTTAGTTTCACAAAACCCTTAATGTCTTGTTCTTTTGCAGCATTCATTTAATTCCAAAAATTGAGTAAGTAAGTAAATAGGAATAATTTAAATACGAGTTAGAACATACTAGCTGTGCACTGTAGTAAAATAAGTTTTTGTCATCTTAAAGACAGATTTTGTTGTTTGTATGAGCTAAAGAAAACCAAAGAGAAAGAAATTTTCTTGCTTAATTTGATTCCATACTAACCACATGCAGGCACAGGCATGTAATGATCTGCACGTCAGTTGACAAGCTTTGAGTTGACGAGCTAGTTTGCCACATGTGTCAACAGTGAGCTGCCCAAAGGCTTACTGTCAAACACATCTTGATTTTGTTAACATAACTATACTTCTATTCACTTCTTGAGTGGAATTAATAACTCTGAAAAACAAATAACAGCATTTTTTTTTAGGATAACTCATGGCAGAGCCGGTTTGAGATTTATTCACACTTCCTAATAGGGTTAGGACGTGTGCGAGTTCGGATGTTAATTTAGATTTTTTTAAAAATTATCCAAAAATTCTGAAAAGTCAGTGACCAAACATCCCAATGTATGTTGAACTTTTATACCTCACTGAAGGTATAAATTAAATTAATAGATGTACACAATTTAGTAATTTTATTATTAATCCAGTGAAAAAGACGCTCTATGAATGTGAATTATAGAAGCATGGAATTTAGTCTTAAGGTTTTTAAATGCACAATTTTAAGGTCCATGTCAAGTACTGTAACTGTCTGTGGGTTTCAAGTCGGCTCTACCTTGTAGAATGTGGGTTGCAAACTTTTCTTTTTGTCTTCTTTTTTTTAAATTGTGCTCTCTTCTTTTACAGACGGTGGGTGGACAGCAACTCCCCATTTACAAACAAGGCAGTTCACGTCTAGGGGCACGCATTGCGCTTTGTTCTTCCGATTACGCCAATCCCCAGCAACTCCTCAACCACCTTCCTTCTTCGCGGCCCCAAGAGGCACGCCCTGACTCAGTCTTGTCCGCCTCTTCCGCCTTCACATCCTCAAGTGATGGAGAAAGACCCCCACAGCTACCACCAGGACCAATGTGTGATGAACTTCCCACTGTCACAACAAACGGAACCAGAGAAGATCCTCCGTTAAGCGATGGCTCTGCTGACAGCTATTATGAACGCTCATTTGAAGCTATTGAATCTCTTCTAGGTAAGCTCATTTCTTATCACCGGTCACCCAGTTCACAATGTTTTCCTAAAAATATTCAGTGCTACTCATACTGGGTTGGAGAAAGTAGGAAAAAGGGTATTTCTTAATAAAGTTGAATTTCCTTATTAAAAACGACTACTTTGTGTCTAGAATGTTTATTTTCAAAGAAGTCTATAGTCTTACCAAATGTCTTTAAAATCTCTATAACAATACAGTGTAGCCTTTGTTAACTGAAGTAAAGGAGTTGTTGTGAGTCTTTTCAGACAATCAAAATTTTGATCATGAAGGTGTCAATTTTTACTGTTCAATGTGAAATAAAAATTACTTTTTCAGCCCACATAATGAAGTTTTACTCTTTAAACATAAGTTGTTGTTTTTTTTATTACAATTTTATTGATTGTCTGTCACTTTTAGTGATAAATGGTTCCACTTATTTATAGGTAGTCATTGTTCCTTTTCATGATGGTGTATATATTGATTTTAGTTTTGCCTTAACATTTATCAATTTATTTGTACAGTTGATGCATTGAGGAAAGATATTATCATCTGCAATTTCTTTCTTCGATGTTTCATCCTGACTACATAACTAGATAACTAAATAATAGTTATGTTTATTATTATGGAAGGGAATCAAATATACAATCTATTAGTTATTTAAAACGTATGAAAATAGTCAGTTGATTGCCCTTACTAAAGTTATTCTTAACAAATTATATGATTAGTGACAAAATTATATTTATTTTTTAATTAGTTCAATATTTGATGAATACTTATCTATCTTTTCAGAAAATGATGTGTTCCGTGATTCAGCAGTGTTTAGTGATCATGATGATAATGACACTCCTGAAATTCCTGTGCCTGTGACAAAGACGTGCCCGCGCAAAGTGCCACCACCAGTTCCTGCAAAACCTGACATGCTGAAATGTCGATTCATCCATGTAGCAGTTCCCAGTCAAACAGATGTCAGGGAAAAATCCCGGGTCTTAGCAGAAACTGCTGCTCGTTCTCTTGCTGCCCGCACCAATGGCAAACTGTCTGGAAGTGAAAGCAACGGCATACCTCGAGGACGTATTCAAAGGCCCACGCAGCTCATGAACATCGAAAATCAACGACGTCATGAAGAAGATTGGGAAAGTGCATCTCAACACTCAGCAGCATCAACTGTGGTGGAAGTGGTTCACACACCCCAACACTTGCTGTCTGACGATGAAAGCAATACCATGCAACAGAAGGGTTGGGTGAAACATGTTATTGGAAAACTTCAGGGACCACCAAATGGTGAAGGACAAAACTGTCGGAAAATAACTTCTCCATTGTATTCTGATGTTGCAGATTCAGGATGAAATCTTTGAATTGGTTAAAATTTATGTGATCTTTTGTTTGTCTTGGCATATGTTTTGCATATGCAAAGATAATTTTCTTCTGTTGGCTGCTGTTTGCACTTGCTGAAGATGTTCCCAAGACATTTCTCCATGAAAGAGAAATATATATGTTTTAGGTGAACAACATTTGTGTTGGAATCAAGTTGAGTTCTGGGATAATTGAAAAGTATTTATTGGGCATAGTGCTCATTAAATTTTTGTCACTAAAGTGAGGAATGCACAACTACGTCAGCTGGTCTGGCCCTATGTATTATGAAATTTCCTTACCTAGGAAGTGAGGAAAGCTACTTTTCTCTGATATTAGAATATCAGATTGCAAATAAATAGTAGTTTACCCCCCAGGTTGTTCGCAGTTATTTTCAAAAATGAAATTGGTAAAAGACAGCTTGTGTCTTGCCAAAAACCTCTGCGAATGTAGCAGGTACTCTTCAGTAGTTTGGGTATAGGCAACTAACTCATACTTTTTGTAGTTGCAATAGTTGCTTGTTTGATCACCTATTTGTTCATGTGGATTGGTGGATTAAACTAGGCATAAAATGACAATAACATTACAGATATCAAAGACTTACTGCATTTTGTTCTAATGTTTGAGCAAAATAGCAATTAGATTTCAGACTATAAACTTTTGCTCCAAGTTCAATTTGAATCCATAATAATGTATAAGCTTTTGAATATCTCTTTCATCATATCTTCTGTGCCATGTTTTAGACATCAGCATATCATACCAATAACAAAGAAAGATCCTCTTGTAATATCATTAGATTGCTGAACATCACAAAGAAAATGTTAGTTGCCTGTTTAAATAAAAGAAAATTGTGATGTTTTCTTCCTGCTTGTAGAAAACAGCGTAGGTCCTGATCCTAAAATTTAGAAGCATATAATCAGATGCATATTAGATCACCCACTGATTCAAAATGACAATAAGAGTACCAATCTGGTCATATTTTTAGAACTTTTTCCTAACAGTTGTACTGGCTTTTTTAACTAGTTTACCCAGTTAACATATCATCTTTGTCTTTATTTGGCTCTTGTGATGTTGTTTCGAGCCATTCTCTCTCAGAATATAAGAATCCTGTAGATGACATCATGGCCAGTTCTACTTAAGTGATTCCACATCTGAGTTTGGAACTGTTATAAGCTGTACACAAACATCACATCATGTGATTATATATTCATTTCTTTACCAATGTTGTACATTATCATTTGTTTCTTAACAGTCTTAACAAGAGTCATCTAGGTTAATACCTCCTAATGGTAAAATCTTACTTTTTACCTGTAAGAGATTCTATTTTCTTTCAACATACTTGTTCACTTTTGTTGGAAAGAATGGAATTTGTTTAATTATATTTTGTGTTCTTTAGAACATTTTAGAATAAAAACACATTAGTAAATGACAGTACTGTCTTGTCAGCTTGTGACCATCTCTCCTGAGTTTTAAAAACAGTTCCAAGCTGAGATGTAACAGGTTTAAATAAAGAGTTAGAAATTTATCTTCTGTTGTAAAAAAACAAATTGTACCACAGTTATGCCAGTTATGAAAACATCAAGAAAGGCAATTGCCTTGGTCTTCTCCTTTTACTCATTTGAAAGCTGTGAGAGTTATTGTATTGGAGAGATAGGTTCTTGAGTGTTGGTGTGAAGTGAAGTGAAGTGCATTGTGCCAGAAACTACTGCTGTGATTTGAATTGGTTGATAAGACTGAGCCAACAGGGATGGGAGAAACTTGTATGTAGCTGTGTAACTTGTGTACAGATGGTATGAACCATAGACTGATTAATATTAATTTTCATATTTTGTACATGTGAGTGTTTTTCAACCTATGTAGTTCACAGTTGTTTATTTCAAGCAAGCATAAAGATGTTGCATTGTTTTATCCCTCCTGTATAAATTATGTAAAACATTGCATTCATTCGTGCACTTACGAATATGTCTTTTAATTATTTAACTCACATAATGATTGTCCTAAGCCCAACATTAAAATGTTTTCCTTCTAACCTTGAATATCCTCAGAAAAAGAATATAATGGAGTATCAGGTCTTACGATATTTTTCTTACTTTCTTAAGAACCAATCACATTTTTCAACTACTCAAACTGTTAATTTTTTTAAATACTTCACTCATCAGTTTAGTTTACAAATGTATTTTATAATTTAAAGCATTTGTGAACCGAATGCTTGAAAAAATCTCTAATGGAAACTCAAAATTGCAAACATTATTGAATATAACCTAAATGTGTTCAAAATTGCACATTTTCAAAAACTCTCAAATAAGATTTTTTCAAAACCTCTCTAAATAATTCAACAAAAATTTTTGTAAGAAAAGAAGTTTGGCTCTTCTATACTATTCTGAAAGTTAATTTCCTATTAGAGGGCAAAAAAAATAGAGAAAATGTGAAAAATATATATGCTTTGTGTTAAAATACAATTTCCTTGACACACAATGATACAGAAAAGAAACCTACCATTGTGTTAATATAGATGATCTGTAAATATTATATTCTACACTTTCTGTAATGTTATTTAATTTTGAGGAAATTGTTTATTAACAAGTGTGAGATTGAATGATTTTAAAACTAAAAAAATATTCAATATTGCTATAGCAAACAATGCTTTTGAACATCAATGAGATAAATAGATTCAACATTGCAAAGTACATTTTTGACTATTGCAATAAAAGGTGAGTTTTATTAATATATAATGGATTTTAAAAGATATTGAAAATTAGACATGGTGTGCTGCTTTCAAGCGATTTGATAAAAAGATATTTGCATACTGTAGCTAAAATGTTAGGGGACAAGTAGGCCCTCTATAATTTGCAGTACTAATTATCATTTTACATAACCATTGCAAATAATAAGAGACTGTAAAGCATCACTAGTTCCAAAAGGCCTGTCAGTCTGCAAGGAACACTGGTGCTTAATCTCAACTAATGATTTTGAGCAAAATTGATGTTCTCCTGATGAAGTGGTTGGTTCCTCCACAAATTTGAAATAAAACTACTTTTATTTTTTTGGGAGTATTCTACATGTAACCCATGGGCGAATTTCTAAATTTTCTGAGAAACGTTTGTGAACACAAGTACTTTTTTTTTTTTCCACCGAATAATGTTGTAAACATTTGATTTTCACTACAACCTCTGGTTTCTCAAAAATAGCAACAGTTTTTTTTAACTTCTTCTACACCTTCAATATTGAAGCTAGATATTTATTTCTTCAACAATCTATTCCTCAATTTTAGATCTATAAATAAGTTAATGCATGTAACTCTTTTTGAAATAGTTCTCCATTAACCGAAGGCTAAAATCATGCATGTTAAAAGTAATATTTTGAAGATACTCTCGAACTGATGGATAGATAGGATTCATTAACAAATTATGTAAATTCAAATTTGAGAGTATTTTCAATACCCCTCTCCCTCATAATGAGCGTATATATAAATTTATCACTAAATTCAAAATCAGCTGTTGATGCCATGATGTAAGAGAAAAATTATCACTATATTTTCGAAACCTAATTGGTTTTTGTTTTTATGAATTCATTACCGACAATTGTCTCACTGATAAATACTCTCTGTGTCTCACTGCTGAAGTAGTACAAAAATTCAAGTGCCCTCTGGAAGTCAATACCAGAACTACGTGTACAGGAGGTGAACTCTCCTGTTACGGACTCTACGCATAAAATTATGTAAGTAATGATTGAAAGTAGGCTTAGTTTTAATTAATTTACATGAATTAATTGCCTGCATTTTATTATAAATGAAGTGTTCTGAATTTTGGAAATTACATTCCCGTCGTTCAATGGAGCTGTAATTCCCCCTCTCCAGTTTGTTGGGACACCAACTGCCAGTACCCCTCATACTATACTCTCTGGTACCCCTATGCAACGCCATTGGAGAACTGCACTATAGCATCATGGTGGATCTTTCCACCTTCATTTCCATAGTTCAAGGGCGAGGCATTCGGTCAATGATTGACCTAAATTATGCATTTTCAGTATTTTAGAGAATAATATTAGGAAAAATTTACAAATATTTTAACGGTAATAGTAAAAATAACAGTAATAAAAACAATTGAAAAATAGGCATGAAACAACGAGAAGTACGCCAAGCAGGAATGTCAAACCCCACCCACCGAGCTACATGCCCGTGTGGTGAGACCGGCCCTCCTACGGGCACGGACAGCTTCCCCTCACTCGGCACTTATTTCCCCTTCAAATCCAGAAAAGGAAGAAGAACGTGCGCAAGCTGAAGAGGCGTGAGGCGGAGTTTATAACCGTTACTAATGGCGAGAAAGTACGTGCTGTTTTAGCACTCGAGTTAATTTGTAACATATGCCCTTCTAGACACCCATTCAACTACAAAAGATAAACCTTAGATGGAAGAGTGAATGTGCAGCTTATCCAAGTAGTTATTAATTGAGAAAGTAACACAATTTCTAGGTTTCTCAATTCAGTCAAATCACAAATGGAGTGAACGCATAACAAAATTAAACACTAAATTAAGTTCATTATGTTACACATTCAGAATTATTTCAAATTATGTCGACCTTCATGCAGCTCGTTGCGTGTATTTTGCAAATGTGCATTCCCGCCTGAGATAAGGCATAATATTTTGGAGAAGCTCATCATGTGGTTTCCAAACCTTTGGATGCAAAATAAAATTATTCGAATAACGAAAAAAATGCCATCCGCATGATCCCTGCAAGCCTCTCTTCATTGAGCTTTGAATTTTACCATTGCCTTGCGTATTTATTTACGAATCTCTAATATTTGGCAAAACTGACTTAACGGTGGGAACATATTTTCATGCATACTGATACTTATGATTTCAACACACCTCGCAGAAATAAAATTCATCAAGTGTCAGTATCAACAGCTCACCAGAAATCTACGTACAATACATGTACGTTACTTTACAACGTATTGCCAGATGACATTAAACAATTCAAGTCGGTACACAAATTTAAGTTAAAAGTAAAATCTTTTATTCTACATAACCGTTTCTACACAATTAGAGACTGTACTGATCAACAAGAAGAAAATAATTTTTATTTTAACAAAACCGTGATATAAAATGAATTAGTTTCCATTTGTATTGTATTTTTTAAGGCTTAATATGCTTGTAAAAAATAATGTACTCCTTCAGCTTCCGGATAAATGACTCCCAACTCGATCAGGTTTTTGTCCAGTTTCCCTGATACATTGAACAAATGCTGAGATGACCCCTTGTTTTGCTAAAAACAATTGCTAAGTAAATGTAGATTCTCTAGTAAATATAGATCTACGTTTTGTTGAACTCTCCTTTTACTTGTAAAGGTAAGGGCGAGTAACTGTTTTGTTAGCAATGCAGAAAATAAAATCTGCAGTTCGTTCACCGTTGCAAATAAGTTTTCTATAACTCGAGAACAAAAATGTCTAGTTTTATCAAATATTGCTAGTCTCGTGCTTTTTTAAAATTTTATTTTTATTTTTTATCTTTAACTTTTACTCATCTTTTAAGTATTTATAGATCAAATGATGGGAAGGGATTCTAGAACTCAAGAAAACGTGCGCAGATTATTTTATCCCCCATATGTCACATACAGTTTTTACTGTTTTTTGACTAAATAAATCTAAATCTAAATGAGAAAAAACTCTTGGAATCCGTAGATGAGAAAGAGGTTTTATTACGCAGTCATTCAAAAATTTGCCACTACAACACGACGGCTTGACTATACTTATTAATTTAGGATGTTTAGGAGTCTTACACATACTTATATTATAAATTCATGAATGTCAGTAAAACGTTTACATAACACAACAAAACGCCTAAACGAAGTCGCAGGTAGGCTTCAGCGGCCAGAGTCATGTGCGTGATCTGGGCTGTCCGGGTGACGCCGCGTCGAAGGCTGTGTTGCCGACGTTTTGACCATCCTGTCGTGGTCTTCCTCGGGGCTTCCTCAGGACCACGACAGGATGGTCTAAACGTCGGCAACACAGCCTTCGACGCGGCGTCACCCGGACAGCCCAGATCACGCACAAAACGCCTAAACGTCACGCATTATTTTAGAGAATAAATTATATACTGTAACGTGATAGCAGATTGCTCTGCCGAACCGCACAAGATGTGCGGCAGGCGAGAGGAAGGGGTTGGCCCTATGGCTACCACACATTCAGGGCCTCTCGGATGACAGTCGTGTTCTTGGAACGCGGGGGTCAGCTAGCGCAGGAGGGTTGATGTGCGATGACCCCCTCGGCATGCCGCTGGCCGGCGGGCCCTATATTGCACTCGACTCCAAGCCTCCGTAACGACACGAGACGGTCTGCGAGTCTATAGCGCGAGTCACGTGATTACTAGCGATATAGGCTAGTGGAGGAAACTGCCGGGGGCATTCGAGTTTGAGACGAACCTCCGCAGATGCACATTGTCATCGGCGAAGGGATAATCGCAAGCCACGGCATGCGAGGTTTGGCTTTGGTCACGGGACGAGAAGCCGGGGCGGCACTAGTATTGGCACGCTGGGTTTTAGGTTTATTTAGTCAAAAAAAAAGTTAAAACTGTATGTGACGTATGGGGGAGAAGATAATCTGCGCACGTTTTCTTGAGATTTCTTATTTTCTTTCTTATTTTTCTATTTTTTTTCTTTAGATTTCTTGTAAGAATAGAATAAAATACAGTTATAAAGGTGGCATAGTTCCAATTTTTACGCTTAACTCTGGATTTTGGAAAATTTGAAAAGTTTGACTTTTTGGGGATCTTCCTACAACTACAAATTTCAGAGAGATATTTTTCCTTCAAATTAAATTTGTTGTCCATATTTGTTCTTTTATTAAGGTCATGTACATTTTTTTGCAATTTGCACAATATTACGTGCATTTTTTTGCAATTTTAAAAAATTACAAAATCAAGATTTTCTCAAAAACTGCTCCAATTTTTTTCTTTAAAATTCTAGTAGATATTGTGCTAAATGCACTCTAAGAAGTGATATAAACGCCGTATTGCTCTATTCTTTTGTTTTTTCAAAAATGACAAAAATGATATTTT